AGTCTCTTTCGCTCTGCTAATTGAACTTCGTGTACCGCGCTGATTTCACAAGTAAGTGTTGGTATTACAAAACATATTGCGTATGATCTTAACTTTCTACCTCTGAGGTTAATGCGTTACATCGGCACCCCGTCCGGTGTTTTTGTACTGGCCCATGCTACTACTACCTTCGACTGGAGTTGGGGCCACAGCTACTCATTTCGTTTTCAATGTAAGCTCTGCAAACTCTCTCCATATGGTTGTATTCAGTTTCTCATTTGCCCTATTTTCCATTAGCTCTTTATTTCGAGGTGCTACACGACATTCCTTCGTGCCTGGGTGTACCCACTGGCCCTGAGGCACTCTTCTGTAGTTCGTGGTGCACTGGTCCGGAGTCGCAAACCGTCTCAACTGCATTACTGTCGTTGTTAATACCTGTTCCCACTCTGTCCATGACTTTTCCACCTCGCCCTCGAGTGAGTTGTTGATACTGAAAACATCACTCCCGGTTCTTTCGTCTGATTGCAAACCGTCTCAACTGTGTTGCTGTTGTACCTGTTCCCACTTTCCCCCTCACTTTTCCACCTCGCCCTCTAGCTGCCCTGTAGCTGCAACTGAATCGTTGATACTGAAACACCACACCCGCTTTTTTCATTCTTTCGTCTGAGATCTTGTGCCCTCCACTGCCCTCTACCACAGGTTTGCTCACTGCAAGACAACACCCAAGACAACAACCAAGACGACAACACCTGGGCTTCCTTTCAGATAAGTTCAATTTTGCTGCTGGGAAAATTCCTTACCACTCCCCAAGAAAAAAGAGGGCATGTGCCAAGAGATATTATGTGCTGAATTCTGAGCAAATAAAAGATAGAGGTAGATCCCTTTATTTGTCAGACCCTGATAAGATAAAGGCTGTGGCTAGGACCTCCTATCATGCTGATCCTAAAAAGAAAAAGGCAGCTGTTAGGGCCTCCTGATAAAAAGAAGGCTGTTGTTAGGGCCCTATATTTGGCTGATTCTGATAAGAAAAAGGCAGCATCTAGGGCCTTGTATAATTTGCACCCTTTGAAGAAAAATTTGGCTGAAGCTGCTGCAAAAGCCCGCTATGATGCAAACCCTGCAAAAAAGCATGCAGCTACCCAGGCAGCGTATAAATCTAACCCTGAAAGAATGAAGGCATTGTTTCGGGAATATCATGCCTCACACCATAGCACCAAGCTAAGATATTCCAGGAAGTATCACTGCTATGCCAAAAGAGAGAGAGTAAAGAAGGCTAGATACACTTAGGCGCAGCCTAACCAACTGGCAATTGAAAGGTGTTATAGGAGTGTTAAGGCCAACCTGCTAGCTGACGGTGAAGTGTTTAACAGACTCGCACGTAGCCCTCTTTCTTGTCAGAGATAGCGAGAGCCTACGCCTTTTCGATGAAGACCCCAGGAGCGCTACTCTCGGACGCGGAGTCTTTCAGCGACGTCTCAGAATCCCAACCCTCGACTTCCAAACGGAAAGCCTCTGCGATTCGCTCCCTCCTCGATCTGTCAGCGTTTGCACATAAAAACATTGATACCCAACCCTAACCACAGTGGATATTCACACCATTCCTTAGTTATTTACCCTAACCACAGTGGATATTCTCACCTTCTCACCCTCTTGGGTGGGTAGCTGATTTATTGTGCTAAAATAAACTAGCAACTGGTAATAAGTGGCTCTATCCAGGGTTAGGTCACTAGATGGTCTGTTTCTAACAGCCTTTGATCCCCAGTCCATCAGTGTTAGTGTGAGTTCCCTGGAGGAAGTAAACCGCCTCAGAAAAACCTATAGACCTGATCTTCCTCTCTACGATATACCACATGTCTCTAGAAGAAAGAGGAAGCTCACTGGTGTAGACAAAACTGTGTCCCCAAGTGCAAAAAAGGTCAAGGTCAATCCCACATCTGCAAGGGAAAATGAGGACTGTGTTATTACAGGTACAGAAACACCTGCTGCTACCCCTTTCAATTTCCACTCTGTAGATGTACAGTGGCAGGGAAGTGCATGCCAAGAGCTGGGCCTCCAATATTGTACACAAACACCAGTAAGACCAGGAGGATCCACTGTCCCCCTCACACGTCCAGACATGCGTAGTGTGAGACGCGTACAGGGAGATGGTAACTGCCTCTTTAGGGCATTATCTTACATTCTGACAGGGTCTGAGGATCAGCATATGGGTGTACGACATGCTATCCTTGACCACATGACAAATAATGCCCAATATTTCCTAGGCCACCATCTCATAGGCTATGGAAGTATTCAAAGTTATATAGCTTCCACAGGTATGGACCAAGATGGGGCCTGGGGAACTGACATTGAGATGCTGTCTTTGGCACACCTGCTCCAGACCCCTGTCTTCTCATACAGCCAGCAGCATGGGCAGTGGCAGCGGTACTCTCCTCATGATGTCGACAGACAACTGATGGATGACATTTACCAGAGGTCTATGTATCTATTGCACACAGGAAACTACTTCAATGTTGTTGGTTCCATAAGGAAGAATTAGTGTAACCACATGTGCCTATACATACCTCTCAGAGCATATTGGGGAAGGAGAGGGTGGGTCCCTGCAATTTAGTTGAGGTGGCTTCCCCATTTCATGCTATAACCACTGTATAAAGTGTGATTTACATGTCCTGTACATGACTTCTGAACATGTTGGGGAAGAAGAGGGTGGGTCCCTGCAATTATATGAGGTGGCTTCCCCAGTTCATGTTCTAACCACTCTCCTAAAGTCTCCAGACTTCATGGAGCTGACTGGTTTCAAGTGTAGGGAAACTGCACTGTCTTTACCACAAGGTTTTAGGGGACTGTAACTGCATCACAAAAGTTGAGGTAGCACACTGTTAGAGGTGAATGTCTGTACACTGACAATTGTGTTGTATGCTAACAGTAGTGAATAATCCCTCAGGAAACAGGTCTTAGCTCTGTCAGTAATATGATCCTCCTCCATTGAGGGGTGCACTGTGCAGTAGCTACACCTGTTGGGATACTACTACATTGAAGCTACACACACTCACCCAAATATCAGTGCACCTAAATAATGAATGCAGTATATTATCAGCACCCTTCCTACATGCACCTTCACATAGTATTCTGAACAAGGTGGTTACTATAATACAGGCTCCTCTTTTTAAAAAAATCTGTTTTCCCCTGGGAAGCTCTCTACCTCTGCAGGTCTCTGAAGGCTGTCATTTTCTGTCTAAGGGGCCTGGTGTCTCCAACGTACAGGGGAGGGTGACTGTCAGGGGAGCTGACATCACTGTAATCAGATTATCTGGCGCCTTGGCAGGTGGGGCTCTGAAGTGTTTTCCCTAGCCCTTATCACTGACTTTTACACATCCTGTGCCCCTATCACCACTGCTGACATAGCTATTGTAAAGCATACTCCTAGCCAATTTGGGTTGCATTCCTCACTCATTTACCATCTTTATCTTCTAAGGTGCTGTCCACTTGTCAGACCTGGACCCTATGTACAAGCTTCTACTACACACCCACTACCCTCTTTGGCCTCCACCTTTTACTTCAGCTGGGTAGATGGACCTCTTCAGAAGAGTGAACTCTCCTGCACAACAAATCACATGCATTGTTGAATAATATTTTGTCTCGCATGCGCCTATATACGAGAGACGCGCGCAAGTGCGCGGAAATTATTACGTCACCCGGCCTAGCTGGGCCTGGGGGGGGGACCCAGAGCGCGCGCGCGTCATTACTATATAATACGCAGCGGCCCCCCTCGTTCTGCTGCGCGAAAAGGGTGGGGCCGGTGGGCCTTAGCATGCGCCAAAAAAATAAGTGGAACAAGTGGAAAAATCATTTCTTCAAAATGAAGGGGGATGTAGGGATGGCGTAAATTATGAAAAAGGATGCCAACAAGAAGATGCTTTAGCCGACAACAAAAATCATACATCCATCCCTACATCTTTCTTTACTCACACATCCTCTACTGTGATCATTATTATGTTGTGAATTATGTATAATTATATCTTACATAGCTACTTCATGACAGGTAACCACACATTTTAAGGGTGTCTACCGACGCTCTGATACAGAGCAAACGAAAGAAAGATGTAGGGATGGATGTATGATTTTTGTTGTCGGCTAAAGCATCTTCTTGTTGGCATCCTTTTTCATAATTTACGCCATCCCTACATCCCCCTTCATTTTGAAGAAATGATTTTTCCACTTGTATGTACTACTTCCGTTAGTTATTCCTCATCATCCTAGCCTGAATTTAAAGATTTTGTAATTACTCGTACCCCCAGTCAGCATCACAGAATTTCTCTGTTCTCATCAGGGCTTAGTGACTCCTCTGGACCTGGCCAGCTACAATGGTCACCTCCAGGTAGTTCGTCTGCTGACTGGCAGATGGTCAGAGGTGGAGTATAGGGTCCAGGTGAGACAGTGGCAAGAGCTCATGTCATGAAGTGATGCTAGATTGTGTGGTCACATCATGGACATAGGAAACCTCTGATTATGTCATTCTCATCTAATAATAACAACACCATGCTGTTCAGACTCTCCAGCTGCAAGGAGATTGAATGTGCAGTATATAAGGGCTAAATTTAGAAAATAAATGGTACCCTTGTCCACTTCCCAATAACTAGTTGGTCTGCCATTCCAGCTGTAGGCCTCCCTATCTTGGTACTAACACTCACCACTAGAATGATGCAACACACTTTTGGCAAGTAAACCTGAGAGTCACACGCATGCAGTGCTAAATTTCCCTATTTACAATTGCGCAAACACAGTACTAATGAAAGTGCCGTCGTCACTGGTTACATGACATGATATGGAGAAATCATGCATTCAAAAACAGTAAGCTCGCTTCTCTTGCCAGCTAGTACAGGTACAACAAACTGGCATGGTCGCGGACCGCGTTGCATGGCCCAACCAATCAATAAGTAGTGCCAGGGGCGTCGGAAGGTTCAAGCAAGTGGTACAGCCCTCTGTTACTCATGCGCGTGTACAAATTGGGGCGGGGTGAAAGCTGCGCGACGGCACACGGCCCTAGCTCCGTAAAGACTCAGCTAGGTTCCTACACTAGGCCATGAAGTTAGGTTGGTGGCGAGTCCCGGCAAAAGTGGTACGGCTGTCGCGTTCTCACCTCGACCTGACCCACTTGCTCTGTGTACCTTAGTGGCACAAGATGCCACAGCGAAGGGCATGTATTGACTCCCGCATGCTATCTACTACCGTAGCTAGCCCGTGTCAGACTCTCCGCGAGCTACTAGCGGGAGACCGCGGGTTAATTCCAAAAGCCTAGCCCATGCATTAGTGGTACAGCGCATGCGCAGTTCGCCGAGGGTTTGCACTTAAGTTTTTACGCACTTGCCTCCTTACACCTGGGAGTTGTACGTCATAATTAATAACTGGTTTCTCTTCCATAGCAGAGATGTTGAGGTTTTCCTTTCTGGCCTAGTGGTAGAGTAGTGTTGCAGATTTGACTATCATGCTAGACCCTAGACCTTTTTTCCCAACTCATGCTTTTCCGTGCATTTTTAGTGTTATGACCATGTGACACAGAGGGGAAAGAGGGAATAGCAGATGGCATTAAAATTATGGGCAGAATTTAGATTTTGTGTGTGTAGATGTGTAGCGTAAAATGCTGTAGCACGTGGCAGGTTTTGACACGAAGAGCCAAGGCTGCATGTTTAACTTGGTCTACCACGAGATTGACACTTTGAGATTGGGTGGGAAGACTTACTGAACTCCAGGTTTAGCTGAAGGCAATTGTGAAATTAACGAGTTCAGAAATCCACCCACAGAGTGTCTAGTTTTAATCCCTATTCAAAACAATGTTATTCATACACGTGCACTTTGATGATACACAGTATCATATATTCGGTCAATCTGCTCACCTAATACCATGCTGGTACGGTGGACATTATTTGGAACATTTTTACTATTCCGTTGCTGTTGCGTTGTTTAAAATTACATTAAGATGCTTTGTTTCCTCTCTGTTCTGTTATTACTGTTTTTGTAATGTCTCCTGTACTGCCACAAAGCCACATTTCTGGTATACACTATAGTTATTCCTAGCCTGAATTTAAAGATTTCGTAATTACTCGTACCCCCAGTCAGCATCACAGAATTTCTCTGTTCTCATCAGGTCTTAGAGACTCCTCTGGAACGGGCCAGCTACAATGGTCACCTCCAGATAGTTCGTCTGCTGACTGGCAGAGGGTCAGAGATGGAGTGTAGGGACCAGGTGAGACAGTGGCAAGAGCTCATGTCATGAAATGATGCTAGATTGTGTGGTCATATCATGGACAGAGGAAACCTCTGATTATGTCATTCTCATCTATTAATAATAACACCATGCTGTTCAGACTCTCCAGCTGCAAGGAGAGTGAATGTGCAGTATATAAGGGCTAAATTTAGAAAATAAATGGTACCCTTGTCCACTTCCCAATAACTAGTGGTCTGCCATTCCAGCTGTAGGCCTCCCTATCTTGGTACTAACACTCACCACTAGAATGATGCAACACATTTTTGGCAAGTAAACCGGAGAGTCACACGCATGCAGTGCTAAATTTCCCTATTTACAATTGCGCAAACACAGTACTAATGAAAGTGCCGTCGTCACTGGTTACATGACATGATATGGAGAAATCATGCATTCAAAACAGTAAGCTCGCTTCACTTGCCAGCTAGTACAGGTACATCTACCTTTGTTGGCCTGTTCACCCCTGGGGCAGGGTGATGATGCATCCTCTGAAATGAGCTTATCTTACAACTATGTTACCATGATAATGAGTTTTGTCAATCACACAGGATGGATGGACACCTCTAATATCTGCTGCGACCAATGGTCATTGTGATATAGTCATTGACCTACTGTCACTTGGTGCTGATATCAATGCTCAGGAAAATGTAAGTCATCATTTCATTTCACACTCATAGTGATGAGTTGGTCTACAGAGCTATACCACACCTGTTATTCCACATGTATTTTCAATGGTCACTGGTGTAGAGGAGAGAGAAGGGTCTAAATGTTACCACAGAACCTTTTTTTAAATGTAGCCAATTTCGTGGGTACTGCACACAACATGCGAATATTGATACGTAGCTCTCTGGATGATAAGAGTAAGTAATCCATGTTGATAGCATGGCAGTAGAAATTTTAACGTAGCTAGCCTTGTCCCAAAGTCCTTCTGCTTACAAATAATACCATGTGTTCAAGGGGCAAAACTTATGGCATCACGTGGGAGCATGGAGTCAAGATCAGAAATGTCAGAAATACATAACGATTAATAGTCGAGTCACTATATGTTCGTTTTATTGTTCATATTAATTGTAATATGGATGGTGTCATGTAGCTTTGTGCATAATTATTTACTGTGTAATGACCCCTTGTTTCTTCCTTTTTGGTGCTTCAAGCTGTCCCTATAATCCCCCTTCATTTTGAGGAAGCTATTTTTCCACTTGTATACCCACAATGCAGCAATGTGTACTTCTACATTAGTTTGCAAGCCATTTTCCGCGATGAATATGGTTAGGAAGATCAGAGCCACTTCATCTTGAATGCACTGTACATGTGCATTCTATAATGGGAATCTCTCATCACACAGAATGGGGACTCAGCACTGATGGAAGCAGCCTACTATGGTGAGACTGATGTTGTGGTGGAGTTGGTGAAGGGAGGAGCCAATTTGGACCTACAGAATAAGGTATGTATAGTGATGATTAAGAGGTATATACCGTACTTTCCTCAGTCTAAGTCACACCTGTTTGAATTTCTTACTGGAGGAGAGAGAGGGTCCAAATCTTACCACAGAAAAAGTTTTAATGTAGCCAATTTCATGGGTACTGAACACAACATGCGAATATAGATACGTATGTAGCTCTCTGGATGATAAGAGTAACTAATCCATGTTGATAGCATGGCTATAGAAATTTTTAACGTATAGCTAGCCTTGTCCCAAAGTCCTTCTGCTTACAATACCATGTGTCATACCTCTGGCACCACATGGGAGCATGGGGAAGTCATATTTAGAGTACCATCAGAAATGTCTGAAATACGTAATGATTATCAGTCGAGGGTATTTCCCTGATTAATCAGCAGTGCTCGGACTCTAAATATTTTATAGCCAAACAATACACATGCTCAGATATGTCGAAGTCATAGTTGCTGTGTTCTAAGCCGTTTCTAGGTAACCTGTCATCTTGTGGAAAAACACAGGCTGATTCATGAATTTTCAATGTTGGAAGTGGTGCATTTGGTTTAATGAGTGCTACTGGTAAGACCACCTAAGGGATGCACTGCATACTTGTACGGTACAGGGCAAAGAATGCACCGTAACTACACTCTAAGTTGCTGCCATAAATTATTTATGGTGTAATGGTGTAATGCCTCACCAGTGATCTATTGCCTCTCACTCTAACCAAATGTGCTTCAGTTTGCTTTGCTCACTGCTGCTGTTGAAGATACCGTATTCTCCTAAGTCTAAGTCACACCTGTTTGAATTTCTTACTGTGCTCACTCTTACAACTAATAAGATTATCGGTAGACGCTCTATATGGGGATGGCACAGGTGAAATCTCACGCGATCCGCATACAAAACGCCGCAAAAAACTCAGCGAGAATGACTTGCTCTTCCTTCAAAACACAATGGTAATAGTCTATGGGCCCATCCTCCAGTTCTCGCTCACACGCGATTTAACGATTTCATATCATCATAATAACATTCTTCATTGTCTTCTTTAAACCCGCTATCTCCTTACCGGAACCAGTTGAAGCGCAGATTTTTTTCACTGAACGTCTCAAAATTCCACGGAGGTGTGCACGGACATCAAGCGATCGTTTCTTTTTTGCCGCAAGTGACTACAGTAGATCGTGAACCTCTTCCACTGAAGACACTGAACAACGCCATTTGCTGCTAACTCAGCATCAGTGAGACACATGCGCCGAGCAGAGGGGCGTTGTCCAATGCTCTGTGCGCGCATAGGTGGGTCGACAGGCCTGCAGAGGAACTCTCAGCCTCTCCAGTGCCAACTGCAAGTCAGTGTACACATTACCAACTGGCTAGCTTGCATTTTGCTGTTAATTTACAACTTTGCAGAGTCTGCGCGTGTTACGTTGGCCTTGCCTGGCGCACAAATCGGCTTTTGTCCCCGAGGATGTAGTCTGGTTACTGAAGCCTGCCCAAAACCACCACAATGTGCCATAACCTGATTACATCCCTGTTGAAGACAATACATGCGGTGAATATCTCCCCCTGCTACAGGCACAAGCAGCCCATAACAGCTACTGCTTGAGTTTGTCCATGGTAAACGCCTCATACCCATACCAAATTGCAGTGTTGTATAAGCTGTTAAGAATAGTGGAAACAAGTGGAAAACTCATTTCTTCAACATAAAAGGGGATAAATCATGTAACTTTGTGCATCTTTGCTGTGTAATGACCCCTTGTTTCTTCCTTTTGGAGATTCAAGCTATCCCTATATATCCCTTGGGAATTATTACTCAACCTTACTGGTAGGAAAATCAGAGTTACTTCATCTCGAATGTACTGCACATGTGCATTTTGTAATAGGAATCTCTCATCACATAGGATGGGGAGTCAGCACTGATGGAAGCTGCCCGGTTGGGTAAGACTGATGTTGTGGTGGAGTTGGTGAAGGAAGGAGCCAATTTGGACCTACAGAATAAGGTATGTATGTAGTGATGATTAAGAGGTATGTATATAGCGTAAGAAGCCAATAATCACCCCCCTAAGGATCCGCGAGCGTTGCACAGCGTACAAACGACTTACGGAAGTATCGTAACTTTTGCCGGTTAGTTCGCGTTCCGCTCTACCTTTGTGTGTAGTTTTCGAAAGGAAACTCTGAACGCAACCGTAACGCCTGGATGCTTCCGGAGGCAGGTAAGAAATCAATTATCGTTACTATGCACCAAACATCGCTCCGCGTACAAATTTAGCTATCAATTATCGTCACTAACGTGCGTTTGCCTTACCCGCATGCTCTACGAGCTATAGGTTTCTATTTCACGCACACCAGTACACGTAGAGTAGCAAGAGCTACACAAGGGTATCCAATTTCTCAGGAAAATCTTTTCCAAAACTGTTGATAATGAGCCCACAAAGTCGGAATCATGATCATGTGTACTGAACATGGATGAAATGTCAGAAAATGATAATGACAATGGTTACAGGCATGTAGGACAAAATCTCTCTTTTCCATCAGCATCTATTACACATTCTTCACCGCAATATTCATGCAGCCATCTGCCACAGGCGCACTCGATCCACTCAGCTCCTGAGACGTCTTCAGAATATAGTTCGAAACACACGCAACACTCGTTAGTGTCGACTTCAGTTACACCACCAGCACTGTGTTTCTCCTGGCGACCCTTTTTACTTGGAGGCTCATTACAGCTTCCTCGGTTTGTACTGCTGGAGTCTCTCAGAGCTCTTTTCTTTGTGACCCTCTGTTTCTTTGCTACTTCACTGTCCTTCTTTGCTTTCATCTCAAGCTTCTTCTACCGTTTCTAGGTAACCTATCATCTTGTGGAAAAACACAGGCTGATTCATGAATTTTCAATGTCGGAAGTGGTGCATTTGGTTAAATGGGTGCTACTGGTAAGGGATGCACTGCATGCTTGTACGGTACAGGGCAAAGAATGCACCGTAACTACACTCTAAGTTGCTGCCATAAATTATTTATGGTGTAATGGTGTAATGCCTCACCAGTGATCTATTGCCTCTCACTCTAACCAAATGTGCTTCAGTTTGCTTTGCTCACTGCTGCTGTTGAAGATACCAAATCAATTGCTACACAGAGTGCATAGACTATATAGTAGTCTTTGGATTGGAGGATTGCACAAAAGTGTCATTTTCCATCTTTCCTTAGCCTTAACAGCAGATGGAATCTGTCGTTTGTATGTACTTTTAAATGCAAGACACCCATCTCCCTCTGTCAGGAACTGGTAACCTCTTCCATTAACCATAATTATACACATGTAACTGATAGTATGTCTTCTTGTGTGTGTGGATACACATTTAGCTAGTGCAAGAGAACATTTGGCAAGAGTATGCACAGCACCAAGATTTTAATCGGATGGCTAATGCCGATTAATGACTATAGTGTGCACAGAGCTGCTTTTCCATGAATAAGATAATTCTGTCTATCAGGAGAAATTTGTTCCACTACTGCGAGTAACACTTCAGCAAAAACAGTTTGGTTCAAAATGAACCTATCAACCTAACTGGTAGGAAGATCAGAGTCACTTCATCTTGAATGTTTTGCACATGTGCATCTTCACACAGTATGGGGACTCGGCACTGATGGAAGCAAATTCACATGAAGTACTGTAACCCTCGCTGCGCATGCACGCCGAGGGTTAACTAGAGCGTTAACTCTGTAGCATAACTTGTTCGCCTCCTCTAGTGAAGATGAGAGAGAGGAAGAATCTCCTTTGCCATGGATCTA